TACCAGGGGTCATAGATACAGGATGAGTGTCAATAACAAATGGATGATCATAGTGACATCCAATTGTTATTGTCAGCGGGTCGCAGACGAATATTCCCACAAAGTCTCTTGCAGAAAGTTCACAGAGTCTAGTGTACAATTTCTGTCTGCCTCCTTCTGAGAATATTGTGTCCGCATATGGGAGCTCTTCTGTAAAGTCGCACTGACATTGTAATAGATTTTGGCGCAGCAAAATTTGGTAGGCTTCCATAGTGTCGTACCTTTTGTGGATATCTCTGCATTCATTTATTTTTGAAGGCAAATTTGTAATCGCATCTTCAGCATATCCACTAAAGGCAGAAGGTAAGTTCTGATTCGTATGGCACTTGGTTAAAATGCTGTCTGCTATTTTTACTGCCAGGAAAGCACATGCATTTGTGCCATCATTTAATTGTAAGGCTTCCGCATGTGTCAATGAATCACAACTGTTTGTCATCTGAGCAGCAACTTCCTCATCTATTTGTTGTAATGCTGTGGCCTGACTAACATTAAGGTTGTACACGTCAATGTTGTGCATGTTATCTCGATTAATAACAGTTTCAACATCTCTCAATGATAGGCGACTTTCTTTGTTAACCGCACATCCTCTATAAACATCTTGCAATTCAGACCATACGGTGGCCCTCTCAACCTCATACTTCTTATCTGGCTTGGGTAGATTTTTCTGCACCAGTTGTGACCTACCATTTTTTTTTAGCTGCTCCTCGGTTGTGCATCCAGCCGACCGAGCCTCTAAAATCCATGGACATTTAAGGGATGGATTGACAAGACAGAAGAAGATCATACCAAGTGCCCACATATCCACTAATAGCAGATCAAACATAGAAGCATTACTTAGTAGTTCATCACCAATAAGAGTTTCTGGAGCCATGTATGGTACAGTTCCTCTATCTATGGTCGTGGTCCTTGATGACAACATGGTTTGAGTTTGAATGACTTGAGATCTTCCTTCACCGAAATCAGCGAGCTTGCATGCAACTGGCCTAGAGCTAAATTGCTTTGAAAGTTCAAGCCTAGAAAGCTGGGTATAATGTCGATTGCTAACCAGTATGTTTTCTGGTTTTAGATCTCTATGAGCAATTCCTTTTGAATGTAGATAAGACAATCCTTGTACAATTTCCTTCCCAGCATGTCGTACTAATTCGTGAAAATTTTCGCAGCTGGATTCATCAAGTTTCAGTAGAAGACTCGACAATGAGTTGACTTGCACATCATCCCCAAATGGTTGAAAATCAAAGACAACGTATTCAAGCATAATTGCTGGGGGCTGTTGTGATACAGCTTTCAGTTGGACTATGTTATCATGATGCAGTTCATTTAGCAGTGCTACCTCCTTTAAAAATAGCTTTTTATCCTCAGAATCAAACAAAGGCTGAATCATTTTCTTTATCACAACACATTCTGATTCATGTCCAGGTAATGTATAGTATGTTTTAAAAACCTGTCCGAAGGATCCCTGTCCAATAATTTGATTAACAGGCAACCTATTGCAAGCAGCATTCACAATTTAAACCATACAATTTTTTTTTATTGTTTTAGTTAGTTCATAGTTTATGTTTATCATGTATTTTAAATTCTGTTCGGTCGATCCAGGGAGATGTAACCACCTCCCTGGTAGTCTATGGGAGATCGGTGTAGCACAGGTAATTGTAAAAAAAAATTGTATGGTTTAAATTGTGGAATTTGTAATTTTTCTAACTCCGAGGACTTCCTTTTAGGAAGTTTAGGAAGTTTGAATAAAGCCATTTACTGGTTTACATTTACACATATTTACACCATTGTCACTGGTGAATTTGGAGAGCTCGTTCCTAATTCAAGATTAGATGGTCAATGGGAATAACTTTACCCAAACTGTTAGTCTAGCCTAGGTACAAAACTGCATTAGTGCCTAAAACCGGTATCTAATAATACAATCTATTTGTAGTTTTTGGCTGCGCCAAGTCACAGGGACTGGACAATAAATTTGGGAAGGGTCCCGGACCCCTGATTACGTTTCACTCAGGCACTACATTACCTGTGCTACACCGATCTCCCATAGACTACCTGACCATGCCCCTAAATTTACACTATCCTTAAGCCTTTTTGGAATATTTATTAAAACTCTAAAATAAGATTTAATGGTTCTCTCTATTATAACAGGAACCTGCTTGCAAGGAGGTTCGTCCAGGGAGGTGGTTACATCTCCCTGGATCGACCGAACAGAATTTAAAATACATGATAAACATAAACTATGAACTAACTAAAACAATAAAAAAAAATTGTATGGTTTAAATTGTGAATGCTGCTTGCAATAGGTTGCCTGTTAATCAAATTATTGGACAGGGATCCTTCGGACAGGTTTTTAAAACATACTATACATTACCTGGACATGAATCAGAATGTGTTGTGATAAAGAAAATGATTCAGCCTTTGTTTGATTCTGAGGATAAAAAGCTATTTTTAAAGGAGGTAGCACTGCTAAATGAACTGCATCATGATAACATAGTCCAACTGAAAGCTGTATCACAACAGCCCCCAGCAATTATGCTTGAATACGTTGTCTTTGATTTTCAACCATTTGGGGATGATGTGCAAGTCAACTCATTGTCGAGTCTTCTACTGAAACTTGATGAATCCAGCTGCGAAAATTTTCACGAATTAGTACGACATGCTGGGAAGGAAATTGTACAAGGATTGTCTTATCTACATTCAAAAGGAATTGCTCATAGAGATCTAAAACCAGAAAACATACTGGTTAGCAGCAATAACAAAAAAAAATTCAAATAAATTCAAAAATAATAGTATGGCACCCTTTGTGTACTTTTATGGCTTGTTTTTTAATTGACTGATTGATTGATTGTTAGATTATGGAGGTTATACCTCCATGGTTAGATAGTCCTTAAACCAATTATAGCCATCATGACAGATGGGTGTCATCTGGTTTCAGGAAGAGAGAGGGTAAAGTGTGTCCCAAAATTAACTTTAAAATAAATGATAAGGTCCAATAAAAAAAATATTAAGTTAGTTGCCGATCATCCCCTCACTACTAAAATCATCTTGACATAGTATTTTTTTAAATTTTGCCTAAATTGCTATTCATTGTTTTAATGCCCCAACTACCTAGGCCATCTTTAAGAATTTTAAATTTAGAAGATTTATAATTTTTGTGATTGTGGTCAAACTTACATTTATGTAGGTCTCATGACTGATTGACTTAATGTTTTATGTAAAAAATTAAGAAAAAAAAAACACTCCCTGCCTACCCACTTTTTATGAAAATGACAACCAACAATTGTTTTTTTATGATCTACATGATATATTTTTTTTTTTATGGAAATCGCCATCCATTGTAAATTTATTGTATTGTAAAAAATATTGTAAAAATGAATACAAAAAAGATTGACATTGGGTTTTTTTTTTTTATACAATACGATTTGTATACAACAGATTTATTATAAGTCATTAAATAAAGGAATAATAAAAATTTTGATAATTTGCAATACAGGCTTGCGCATAATACATTTATAAGAACCTCTGTACAGACAATAAGCCAAACTTTTTAGAATATTGCGCCTCTAGGTCGTTCAAAATGGCTTTTGATTGTTACAGTGGCAATTGTTACACCACAATGCAATTCATTTGAATCACAGGTGGCTCCAGGATTTGCTGGACGAGGGGTCAGATTTCCCAGATGAAAGCAAAGTAGACGTCATGCTTTGATAATAGGTTTCAAAAATGGTCCAGGGGGCACATTTACACTTATCTGTACGCATCTGGAAAGATTTTTTTTTTTACATTCTTGATATAAACCTGAAATGGGCTTTTGCATCTTTGTCACTGGTGAATTTGGAGAGCTCGTTCCTAATTCAAGATTAGATGGTCAATGGGAATAACTTTACCCAAACTGTTAGTCTAGCCTAGGTACAAAACTGCATTAGTGCCTAAAACCGGTATCTAATAATACAATCTATTTGTAGTTATTGGCTGCGCCAAGTCACAGGGACTGGACAATAAATTTGGGAAGGGTCACGGACCCCTGATTACGTTTCACTCAGGCACTACATTACCTGTGCTACACCGATCTCCCATAGACTACATGACCATGCCCCTAAATTTACACTATCCTTAAGCCTTTTTGGAATATTTATTAAAACTCTAAAATAAGATTTAATGGTTCTCTCTATTATAACAGGAACCTGCTTGCAAGGAAGTTTGTCCAGGGAGGTGGTTACATCTCCCAGGATCGACCGAACAGAATTTAAAATACATGATAAACATCAACTATGAACTAACTAAAACAATAAAAAACAATTGTATGGTTTAAATAATGAATGCTGCTAAGCTAATGTTAATTTTAAAAAGTTTGTTAAACTTACCATACCATAAAAACTTTTTACAATGCACTGGACTGGACTAGTGAACTTTAGACTACCTCAGTCTGCCCCATGTGGTTCCTGTGCACTGAAGCTTGACAGTGTCATGTGATGAAAATCGACCAATTAAATCAATCCTTTATAAACTCATCCATGGCCAATCCATGTTTACATTTTGTGTTGGGATTGCAAAATTCTCCTGTCACTTATACAGTACCATCATCCTTAGAAATGTTTACTTCTATACTCATGTGCTCATGTTGTATGCCTTTGTATTTTTTTTTTTTTTTAACTACGAACAAAAATGATTTAAATTGTTTTATGCACAATTTAAAGTTTTGGCACAGTTTTAAGTTGTTTGCTGTTTTAACATTAATGAGCCCAAGACTTCAGTGGCATAGAAATTTGTAATAAATTAAATCAAATAGTTTGAAATCAATGATTAAATTAAATCAAATAGTCAGACAACCAATGATGTAAATATCCCCCCCCCCACCCTTCACAAACAGACACACCACACATACATACATTTTTCATTTGCTTTTTGATTTATATAACATACATGTTAGGAGTTCACAGAAGCAAGGTTACTCATAGAAAGTTGTTAAATACATATACACACACACATACAAACTGAGGCCTACATTCATATATCTTTTACAAATTTGGTAGAAGCTATTACAAGGTACTATATATTCTGTCGATTA